GGCCGGCCTGCGCATGCGCCGAGCGCCCTGGGGGGAGGGGCCTGCGTGCCATGGGAGGGTGGCTCTGCACTTCATGGGCGGGCCCGCGTTTGTGCCCTGCGCCGGGGGCAGCACCGCGCACCCGGGCCCAGGGCGCCAAAAGGGCTCAGGCCGGCCCTGACCATAGCCATCAGGGCATGCATTGTGGGATACTGGCGGAAGCCATGTCTCTCAACAAACAGCAAAGTCCACACCAGCTCTTTGTCAACAATAAAGAGAGGGGGGAAAAAACAAAAGTCTCTCACACGGGTAGAAGTTTTTTGTCGCCAAAACTGCGTGTTTTTCCCAACAAAATTTGCACTGCCGTGTGAACGCTCTCACTGTTTTGTCACCAAAAGGTAGGTTTTGGTACAAAACATGCCCGTGTAAACAAGGCCTTAAAGAGTTTTGCCAGAGAAAGGTATTTTTCTCCACTTAAAAATTCCCTGTAGCATAAGAAATTTGAAAATCAGCTGAGAATCCCCAGTATAGTTCGGCTTCAATCTTGTTAATTACTGTGGTGCTTCCTTCCACATAATAGCTGCTGCTTTTACTCCATTTCTACTCAAATCTTGTATTGATATTTCTTATTGTCTGGTGCCTTCCCATTCTTCAAAGAAAGCAAGTGAACCAGTAAAATAATATTGAAGTTGTCATAGAAAAGAATGATTGCATCTGAGTTCAGGACTCTGTCCCATAGCCATTACTCACCTGAGCAACCCACCTACTTTAATGGGACCACTCAAATGAGCTGATCATTGCAGAATCAGGCTCCTAGAATAGTTGTGGCAAATGCCACAGGGTTGTGGGGAGATGGGCTTCCTTAGGTTGCAGACAAGACCTTCCTAGACTGCGTAGTACTTTTGATCTCCCTGCACTCCTCCACATGAAGATAAGGAGCCACTCTCCTTCCTGTCACTGCCTTAATCCTGTCTGGTTGTTAAGATAGCCACTTCTGAATTGTAGGGGCTCTTTCCAGTGAAATAAATGCTGGAGCAAGACCGTGAAAGCAGAGGGGCTGATTTTATGCCATACAGGGTCCCCGTTCTCCCATTTGAGGGGCTGAGGCAAAGAGCAATAACAAAGACAGCTGGGCCAGAACAATGCTTCAGGTGCCCCAGTTTGCATGTTGGCCACCAGCTTATAGAATACACCATGTACTTCAGCAAGCGTCTCCGAGCTTCAGCATTTAGTTGGGGATTGAGCTGTTTGTAATAGGTCTTGAATGCTTTCTGCTAAAATTTTATCTTAATTCCCTTCTTTTTTTAACTCGGTTACAAGGGCGTTGCATCCATTTTTGCACTAGTAGTTAGGCTGGCCAGATGCTTTCACCCCAAATCCCGAACATGGCAGGAAAAAAACTTGGTTAACCAAAAAAAAAAAAAAGACAATGGTTGCTGTGCCTTTAAGACTTCCTCACACACCTCGCTTCCACTGGCCTTCCATCAAAGAAAAACAAAAAATACCGGACATGGGTTTGTTTGTTTTTTTTAACCAGACAGGGCCCAGAGAAAACAGACTGTCCGGTCAAAAACCAGACATCTGGCTACCCTACTAGCAGGTGCTACCTCAGAAAAGTGAAGTTCTTATCTTTTAAAAGTGAAAGCTACAGAGATGTATCTAGAGCCGCCCTTGTGTCCGTGTCTGGAATTCTGAGTAGGGGTTTTAGCTCAGCAGCTCTGGCCGGACTGACTCAGCATAGTCTGAACAGAGGTCAGACAAATTTTGGCAATAAGGGATGGAGGGAAGGGATGTTGGAAGACAGGTTTTACTGAACAGGGTTGCTTTCTTTTGCCAAATCCCGCTGCCTTATTCTCTGCCATGGTGCCACTGTTCTGGGATGCATGGCACTTTATAATCCCTGAAGGGGATTCTGTCCTATACTTCTTTGTGTAAGTGCTGGTATCTGTGGGCCTTTCTTAGAGGGAGACTGTTTACTCTGCCCTATTAGCTAGAGAGCAGGGGTACCACAGATCTTTACAGTAGTCAAAAGGAAGTTTAGTGAGATATGCTCCTTGCATGCTGGAAAGATCAGTGTTGTTAGGGCATTTGGCCCCTTTGGACAGAGAAGTTGCCCAGAACATGATGGCTGTAAATTCATTAAGTAGCTATTTCATTAGAAAACCTTATCTGGAGATTTGCTAAAGATCTTGCTGCTTTCATTGTGTTTTTTATTTGAGGTAAATATGGCTGCAGATTGCAACCGTGAAAAGTTTCCATAGAGAGTTTAGCCAGGCAGCATATTGCATTTCCAATGTTCTCTCAAATAGTTGCCCAAGAATGGACTAGACGTTCACGTTTAGTCAACAGTGGATTCATTTTATTTGTTTGGTAGCCTCCTATTCTTGTGCAATGCAGGTGTATGCAGAGACAGGTCTTCACTTCCTGTTGTGGGACAAAGCTGTCTATTCATTCCTGCACATAAACTGGGGTGGGACAGCTGGTCCAAACTGGTGCTATTTGTTCAAGTGTCTTTGGGGTCAAGGAGACTGAAGAAAAGCTGACTGTCGTTTAGGCATAAGCTTTTGTGGGCTGGTACCTGCTTTGTCTGATGCACAAAGTGGAAACTTCAGTTTGGGAGATATAGCTAGATGCGCAGAGATGGGCGTGTTACATTATTGTGCAGAGGACCAGTGCTAATGAGGTCAATTCAACCATATCCACTTTGATTGAACTGACTTCCTTAACATGAGCCCTCCGCACAGTAGGAACGTAAATGGTTAACTAGCTAACCGATAGGGACTGGAGCAGCTCCCCTCCCACTGTGGGCAGGGGGGCTGTTGCAGCCCCTCAGGGTCCACCACAGGCAGGGACTGCTCCAGCTGATGGGCCAGAGCAGTCCCTGTCTGTGGTGGGCAAACCTGCATCCCCGCCCCAGGTTACACACTGGTTCCCTGGGAGTGGGACCAGCAGGGGCACCAGACCCACTCCCAGGGAGCTAGCTGCAGACCACACCCCTTGCCAGCCCCACACCCCTTGCCAGCTCCACTCCTGGGGAGGCTTCATTGCGGGTGCTGCAGTATAAAGCTTCAGTAATCTTTATACTGCTGAGCCTGCAGCATGTGTAACCACTAGGATTTTTCAGTTACATTTTTAAACACCCTTTTTACATCCCTACCGCACAGGAATCTACTATACCCATCTTCGCATGCGTACACATACCCTCCAAATTGAAGTTTCCGCTTTGTGCATCTGACAAATGCAGTTTTGCCCACAAAACCTTATGCCCAAATACATTTGTTTCATTTTTAAGGTGCCACAGGACTCCTTGCTATATTTGCTGAAACAGACTAATTTGGCTCCCCTTCTGAAACTTGTCTATTGCTTGAAGCTTTCTGCTACTTGCAGACCTCAACTTACGTGATGGTAAATTTATTTTTCTGCTAACTCTTTGTGTCTGTGTTATTCCTCCACAGGTACGTGGAGTTCAATCTTGTTTATGACAGAGGCACAAAGTTTGGCCTTGCAACACCAGGATCCAGGATTGAAAGCATTCTTATGTCTCTGCCACTGACTGCCAGGTAAGGGAATAGTTACATGTTGCTCAGATGCTACAACACTGTTTCCTTTCCTGCTGTTCAGCCTTGACCAGGTAGTGGCAGCAGGAAATGTACCTGACTCATACCTGCAGACCATGGTTGTGTCCACACTACAAAGAAAAGTTGGAAAAAGATATGCAAATTGCGAACGTCAATTTGCCTTTTCCCGCTTTTCTTTTGGAAGAGGCTTTTCCAAAATTTGGCGCATCTACATGGCACCAGATTTTGAAAAAACCTCCTCTTTCAGCACATCCCTTCTTTCTCGTACAACAAGGTTTACAGGGATGGCAAAAAAAAAGCATCTGCTTTTCCGAAAAAATTTTCTGGGTATCCCAGAAAAGAGCTGCAGTGTAAACATAGCCGAAATATCACTCTCATGGCCCAGTCCTATTGTTGCAATACCAGCACATTGTTGCAATGGGCTGGTTTTATGTGCTGAAGTATTTGGACATTGTTTCTCTTCATAATATGACAAGTAAAGTAATTGCTAGTAAAAGAAAGAAAATGGAAAAGGCTAAATCCTGTCTGCTGCTTGGAATATCTGTAATTGTTTTCTTCACATTCACAATAAAGCCCAGACATTCAAATCCAATGAGAACATAGCTTTGGGAGAGTGGTGGCCAGCCAGCCAGCCGACCTGCCTCTAATAGCCATATTCTCTCTTTGTTGTGCACAGGTGGGAATACATGCACACGCCACCAGAGAATTCCAGAGAAGCTGAAATCCTAGAAGTCCTGCGCCATCCCAAAGACTGGGTGCACTGAATTAACAGCATGGGGGAGAGGCTTAACTATGAGCAAACAATAGGAGCTCTTACCAACCAGCTCCCTCAAACTGCCATTGTGTGGGTGTTCAATGTTTAGACTTATGTTCTTATCATGTGCCTTAAAAACGTTGTAAACTGGTTATCCTTCGCATGTTAGTGAAGTGTTTCACTAGCTGACACACCCTTTTCTGTCTGACGTTGCCTTAAGGGGACGTAAGAGATGTTAGTTGGACCAAATGATATGTTCGGTAGCTGTCTCAATTTGTCTAAACATACAATGGTATAAAACACTGCAAAATGTTCCCCCAGAAACATAGTGCTTTCCAAGCCAAAGGGGAATTACACATCTTGCTGTTAGGAAATTCACAAGAAATTTTAACATTCTGAAAATAATGTTCTTCTTTGTTTCATAGTTAAATGAACGCATCTATTCTGGTGCATACAAAATCTCTTTTTTGAATACAGTTTCAAATACTTTATATCAGTTACTTTTCACTAAGGGACAGATTTTTAAAGGTACTTTGGTGCCTAACTCCCACCGGGTTTAGTAGGAGTTAAGCACCAAATTGGATTGGGTATCCAAATACTTTTTAAAATTTGGGCCTTGGTTCCTACAAATATACCAAACAAGTGTACTTCTATGGGAGGAGCAGGATTATAAAACAAGTTGAAAATTTACTGAAAGCAAGCAGGAAACTAAGAAATTTACATTAGCTCCATTATCTTTATTCAGATCGACCAAGCAAGGCCATATTAAGACAGACACCTCTCTGATTCATCTTGTGAGGGTCACAAAACCCCAAACCCAACGCCACTTTTTTTTTTCCTTTTTGGTGAGGTTTTTTTTTCTTTCCATCACGCTGCACACCGATCCCACCCCTGACACCAGTTGTGACAAAGCTCCTATGAAAACTCAGCGTGTCCTGTGCTTCCTGGTGGATTTTGATTGCCTCAGAGACTCTCAGCAGCCCACAGTTTTAGGCACCACAGCTAGGGCTTTAGTTTGCTGTTTGTTAAGCTCTTTTCATCATTGGCCTGCATACAGTAAAAAAAAGAGAATAAACTCCATAGTCCTTTACCCCCAGTGGAAATGGGAATGTGAGTGCTGGGAGGGGGGAACCCAGGCCGACCCTCTACTCCGGGTTCCAGCCCGGGGCCTGATACCTACTATAGGACAGCTCCAAGACCCCTGGGCATACTTCCTCACATCCCCAGACCTTCCTTCTCTCTGGTTTGTCCTCCAAGGCTACGTCTACACTGGCAGCTTCTTGTGCAAGAACAACTGTCCTTCTGCAAAACTTACCGGCTGTCTACACTGCACAAGTGTTCTTCCAGAAGTAAATTTACAGTACAGTATTGTAAAACAGGGCTTACTCCTGCAGCAAAAAAACTTCAGGACCAGACTTCAAAGAGAAACTGTTGAGCTATAGTTCATCTTCAAGTTTGACCCAATCAGCTCAGGATTAAACAAAGACTGTGAATGGCTAGCTAACTACAAAAGCAGCTTCTCCTCTCTTGGTATTCTCACCTTCAGATCAGCTACTAGAAGTGGGCCTCATCCTCCCTGATTGGATCCACATCATCATCTCTAGCCTGATTCTGGCCTGCATATTTATACCTGCCTCTGGAAATTTCCACTACGTGCATCTGATGAAGTGGATCTTTGCCCACGAAAGCTTATGCTCCAACACTTTGGTTAGTCTATAAGGTGCCACAGGACTCCTCGCCGCTTTTGCAGATTCAGACTAACATGGCTACCCCTCTGATACTCTTCCGGAAGAGTTATTCCTCTCCCCACGAGGAATAAGCCCTCTTGTGCAAGAGCTCTTCCAGAAGAGGCCAGTGTAGACAGGCAGCATGAATTACTTGCGCAAGAAGTGGCCAAACAGGAAAAAAGCCAAGTGGCCACTTGGACGCTCCGTACCCGCACTCACAGCACCAGACTTCCTGGTTACCGGAGCACCCTTGAACAGGTCCGGGCTAAGGTGAAGGAGCTGCGCCTGGGCTATGTCCGGGCCACTGAGGGCCAGGAGGCAGGAGCCGACACCTGCTCCCACTATGACCAGCTCCGGCATGGATGCTCTTGTGCAAAAGCACATCTCTTGCGCAAAAGCACATGCCAGTGTAGACGCTCTCTTGTGGAAGAGTTTTTGCACAAGAACTCTTCCGCAAAAGAGTTCTTGTGCAAGAAGCTGCCAGTGTAGACGTAGCCCCTAGTGTTCAGTTGTTGTTGCGTTATATGGCCTTTCCTCCTCCCAGCAACACTTTCCTCCATCCTCTCAGTAATCCATGTACCCAACTGATGGCAACGATTCTTTTATAACCAGCCTGAACTGGTTTTCTTAATTACCCCCTGTGGTGTAGTTTGGGGGGCCTTGCTGGTTGCTGGGCTTGGGCAATGGGTGACCTCCACTGGCAGCTGTTTGTAGGACAGCAGATGAGTCACTAGGCAAGGGTCTCCCAACCTGTCCAACTGGTCGCCTCCCAAGGAGAGAGACAAAGGGAGGAAGGTGGGGTCCAACCCCTGGCTGTGGGTCAGGGCTGGAAGAGAGGGTAGTTTCTGTATGGAATCATGGCGGAAGCAGCCTAAGCAAGGGGGCCTAGGATTTAAGGGCCTAGTCTCCCCCATCTCAAGGGGGGCTGAGGCATCCTAGGCCTGGCCCTGTAACTAGATTACATCTGTGTGGTGCTGCATCCTTGGAGAAGCAATAAACTCCCTCAATCCTACTGGCTGGCAGAGTCTGTGCCACTGCGGGGGTGCAGGAGTCAGGGGAACCCTGACATGTTGTTACACCCCCCCATGTGTCCTAATTAGCCTAGGCTGGCCTGACTGCAGGATTGGTCAATTAGCTCCAGGTGTTCCAATGCCCCTGATTGCCTCTACTGGTTCTAAACCAGCCCTTCCCTTTTACTCTGGGAACAGATCTCCCCTCCACTGCTTTTTTTTTAAATAGCCTTCGGTTCTGACCCTGTCACAGTATGTTTAAGTGAAGTACAGATGCAAAGGAGGAAGAAATCCTTCATTTACTAGTTTTACTAGACTTTATTTGCATGAATGAACTTCTGAGATAAGTGTCCTTCATAAACTGCTGACTCTGAGGCCTTTTAGGGAAGGCAGCAAAGATTGTAGAGCACACTTGCTCTAGGAGGGAAGGTGTGACCTGCTACACTGTACACTCACAGAAGAATATTCATAGAAATGTAGCCGTGTTAGTCTGGGGTAGCTGAAGCAAAATGCAGGACAATGTAGCACTATCTGAGGAAGTGGGTCTGGCCCACGAAAGCTCATCATCTAATAAACCATCTTGTTAGTCTTTAAAGTGCTACATTGTCCTGCATTTTGCTTCAGAAGAATATTCAACATTGTTAAATATGAATGCCTAAAGTTAAACACTGAAATCCAGGAGGCATTTCACCCCCTGGCTTATATGGAATAGTACCTTACTCCTAGAGTAACTCTATGTGAGAGGGACTACTTGAAGAGTAAGATACTCCTCAGTATGAATAAGTGACAGAATCTGTCCCCTTCCATGTCCCGCTATCTAAGGTGGCCTGGTTCCAAACAAAGCTACACCTCTTTAACTAAAGGTCTCAGCTTAAACCAATTTAGTTTAACTGGTGTGACTTTGTATAGCACTATTCTGTTTACTTCAAGCTGGCTTATAAAAGGTTAGTTTGCACCAACAGATTTAAATCAGGTATAAACAGGTATGAATATCCACACAGAGACTTGCACTAGTTTAAAGGAATTAGGTTTTTTTAAACCAGGTTTACTCCAATGGCCTTGCTAAGCATGGACAAATCCCAAGTGGACTGATTTTCAAAGGTGCTCAGAATCTTTGACTATCTGGCTACTTTTCTTAGGTATCTTTAGAAACCCAAATCTGAAAAAATGTACCGTTTCTTTTAGCAGGATGGGGTTTGCAGCTTTCTTCTGTTTGCCATTTGACTTGTGAATAAAGTGACAAGAGCTGCAAATCTATTGGCATCTCTGGTTTCTTAGGAGGAAAGAGTAAAAATTATGGAAGTAGTTGTATCACAGGTACAGATTGGACCTCCCTTGTCTGGCACCCTCGGGACCTGACTGGTCCTGGATGAGGAATATTTCTGGGCCAGAGGAGTCATTTCAACACCCTGCTGCCAGTCCCCCCCACTGTCCCCACCCACTAGGCTTTCTGGTTCCTGCCTTTCCCCCAGCCCAGCTGAGCCATATGCTAGCTCCTAGCTCCTCCCCAGCCCAACTGAGCTGTGCGCCAGATCCTGGTTCCCTACCCCTCTGTGCAGCACTCTGGAACTCTCTGATCCTGGAACATCTGTGGTCATGCTGGGACCACGGATGTTGCCGGTCCAGAGAATCCTGGATTTTAGAGGTGCAGCCTGTATTGTTGAGTGTCCTAACCAATCTGTTCTAACCCTATTCACAAATAATGTACATGGTAAGCACAAGCAGTTCTCTGTATAGCGCTGCTAGCCCTTGCCATGTTATCATCCATCTTAGGTTTGCTGCTTTTCTTAAAGCCCTGGCTCTCAAAGACAAGCAATTCCACAAGAAGCTCGGCTTTTTGTGCTTCGAGCTAAAACCATGAACGTAGGGTAATTGTAAAGTTCAGAAATCCAAACATCAACCAAAAGGCCCCAACCACTATTCAACACTTGGCTCATATTTTTAGAGCACTTGGGAGTTGGCAATAAAGGTATATAAGGGTTTGCAACATACGGCTGATTCGGTAAAGGGAGGCAGGTCTGATTTTCATAACTAGTGTTCTGAGCAAATTACTCTCAACACAAGATGCCCATTGTAGATGGAGGCTTGATTTGGAAGAGCATACCAGCAGTTGCCCTAAATGGGGACGGGAGGGGGGACGCCCACCATTTGGAGCAGAAATAAAGCAAGGATGTTACAGTGGGGGTTTCCGAGTCTTGGTAGGAACCATAAGAAGATCGCCTCATATTCTCCCCTTCATCTCTCTGGAACAAGTTGTGCCTCACTAGAGCCGAATAAAGGGGCATAATAACATCTCTGGATCTGCTGGCAATGCTCCTCTTAATGCAACCTAATATGCCATTAGCCTTCTTGGCTACAAGGGCACACTGTTGACTCATATCCAGCTTCTCATCCACTGTAACCCCCAAGTCCTTT